GAGATCAGATTCAGTATCAATGCCAATCACAGACTTGGAATTAATGTTCTTTTTGCCACATTACCATAACCAAGATCTTTCCTTAACCTTAGCCCATTGTTTTTGTTAACTATAATTTTACAAAATTATACAATAGCCCTGTTCTTGCCTTGGAATTTTCTTCGGGGACCCATAGGGCAGGCACCAAAATGTCCTTCCTACTTTTATAGCCTTACAGTTATACTTTAAATGACTCACTAAAATCTTTCTAAACTGTGTCCTCTCACTTTCCAGTCATAAGAATCCATTTGCAAAGAAGCACTGAAAAGATCCAGATCACATTAAACTAGCACAAAACAGCAGCAAGTGCTTTAAGGACTGTTTGCTGCCCTGGGATTTGCCTCTCAGGCTACATTGAGACTTCCCAAACCAATTGGTTCTTGTTGGGGTTCCATGCAGCCTGACAAGATGACACCACTGAGGGCAGTAAAAAAAATACCAATACCAGCAATGTTTTTGAGAAAAGTTATTTATGTTTTGATTTATAGTTGATGATGTGTAATTATAATACAGGTAGTAATTCTTGCTTTTGGTACAGGAATTGGGTGAACGATGCAATTAAATTATCTTTAATTGTCAGTTCTCTACCAATTAATCTAAATGTAATTTTTGGGAGCACACCATTATTAATTAATCTATTACACTGCCATTTATCATGGAAGGCACGATGACCAGTTCATCATAATGTTTTATTTGCTACTGTAAGTTGATATATATCACTTCAGGTAAGGGCATTCACAAAGTTCCATTTTTTGAAACCTCAATTTTTGCCCTCCCCCACCTACGCCCTTGTATCATCAGCATCTCTCCCTCTCTCATACTCACACCCCTGTACTGCCGTACAAGTCTATTACACAAGCCATTTTTAAAAAGCTTTTGTAATGAGGAACATTTTTTGCGGCTAAGGAAAAGGAGACATCAGATACTCTGTCAGAGATGGAAATGTGTCTGTGTGATCACTGATCCCTCTGAGTGTAGTAGCCTGGAGAAACACTGAAACTTAAGGACTCGTCATTCTCAGGGAGAACAAACTCTGTATGATTCTGACTAAAGTTAGAACTGTGGAAGATGAAGCCATGGGGAGTTGTCAGAAATATTTCTGCAATAGGAGAGTGTCTGTGATTCCAGCTTTTTACTCCACATTTTGCTCAGTCTCCCTCGTATTACAGTAAGTCTCTGTTTTCTAACTATTTTTATCTTTCTTTCCTTCTCCTTCCTCATTATTTTCTTCTTACCTACATCATCCAGCTCATTCTCTCCTTTTGTTTCTCTGAAGATTGGACATGTACAGTGTGGAAAAAAAATAGTGGGTGTTAAAATTTATAAAAAGAGGATTAACAATATAATCTTGAATTGTTTAATGCTAACCCACACACAACACCCCAACACATTCATTTGGAAGCGAATACAAAAATATACTGACAGCAGCAGTGCAGTCTGTTTCTCCCTGACACACACTGCACACTGAAAAACACCTAGCCTCACCTTCCTCGCTTGAATTACGACTTATAAGTAGGTGAGTTGTTTGTGGAGTGTAAGTGTTTACTTTCAAACCTCTGCAATAAGCTGTCTGGGTGGGAACAAGTGCACAGAGCCAGTCTCAGCGATCATGAACCTTTCACTCCATCACCACTATACAACGCCATGACCAGAGATCCTAGGATGGTAAAAGAAAAAAGAAAAGAAAAGAATACAGTGGGGGAGAAGCTTCAGACGGAGGGATGAGTCACCAGTCCCCATCAAGAAGTCGTTAGTCATGAAGAATTCACGTGTGAATTGAAACAACCGTCAAACAAATCATTAGTTTGACAGAAACTTGGCTTTCAAGATGCCACTTTTAACAAAAGAAGAAATGGGGATGACAGAGGGCCTTTTACGAGCAAGACTGTTTGAAGTGACAGAACTTCAGTCTCCGAACCTTTGCGTGACCTAAATGTTTACCATGATTGGCACAGTCTGAGTTTGATAGTCCCCTAGCTGGTGCAGCTTGTCTAAACTCATAATGAGGTTGAGCTTTCTCTGCACTGTGAAGCATTACATTATTGTACTGGCATTTGAGTTAAAGTCCTAATTATAAGATTTCAGTTGATGATTTGACGACATTCATGGCGTTAACAGTTTAATACTACAATAAACTCCGTGAGCAGCTCCTTTGTCAGACATACAACAGAGGAACAACTGGTGTATCTGTTCACAGTGCAGCCGAACAAACTCACATTGTTTTAATAAAGAAGTCAATAATTTTCCATCATGTCACAAGCAACCGGGATTTGATTTCATGCTGCACACAGTGCAATTAGTTCTCCACACAACAACAGGGCACGGTGATAGTAGTTGGTTACCTTGCTGTGGCACTGGAGATGTGCAGCCTGTCGTCTGGCTGATCCTTCTTGTTCATTTACTCCGTGCAATGCAGTGCTTTGTTTCCTGTGAATCCCTTGATTTAATAAAAAAATTAAGGAATATAACTTTAAGACTCTTTACACTGGTGGTTTCAGCAGAAAAACATTCAGTGAATCCTTATACCCTGCCTCAGTATGCTCTTTTTTTGAACATTGTTCCTTTTCATTCAACTCTAGCTGCACTCTCTTGTGCACTATGTCCCAGTCATTATGCCCCCTGCACTGGCTCTCTTTTGCCCCAGTTTGAGAAACACTGGATTTAGACTATCCTATTAGATTAGATTAGATTAGATTATCTAAAAAACTTTTCTACAGCTGACATTAAGTTAACAAATGTGTGCTGAATTAAAACCAGCCAGCCAGAAAAAACGCGTGCTATCCCTTGAGTAAGAGAGAATTCATTTCTAAGTCGGTTTATCCTCTCAGCTAAAGTGCACTCACCTTCAACTCTCCTCACAGAGTTCACAGTCCTTGTTGCTTAGTAAACATCTCTCCATTCACCATTTCACCCAGATTTTAACTTTTTTTTTTCTCGTTTCCTCTTTTCATAAAAATTGCAGCATGAATGAGAAACGCAGGTGGTCTGACAGATGGTCATTTTTCTTTTGCCCCAGGTACATGCAAGAATCAAGGTCCCGAGGATTTTTTCCACCAATTTGTTTTCCTTTTTATTTTAGTCTTTCACTATGTTTTCCTTTCACATTCAGAGACCAATAACTTCTGTTTGTGCATTGTGGAATTCAGTTGTTATGTGTATTGTAGTATTAAACTAGCCCTCAGGTCTGTCTATGACAATCAATATGTGAATCAATATACATGTTTTGCTCCTGTTTTGATTAAGCTACAGTCTTGCCTCACTTGATGCAAGTCCAATACATGGAGTGCCACCCAGCAGGATATGCTGGATAACCCTGAACACCTCCAATATGTTAGCGTATATAGGATGTTAGTTGGAGGAAGTCATTTGAAACTGGACAATTTCCTGTACTATAAAGTACCTTAAGTGTTTTTAGTGTGAACTTTTATGTATCCAATCAATCGATGCAAATGTTTCAATGGCAACTGATAGCTTTTGATGTTAAAATTAAAAAAGGAAGCTCCATCAGTACACCACTTTGTTCATTTTTAACCGATTGATAGCAGGTTGTAAGCTGGTTGTGGCAGTACTCTCTCTAGGCTGAGAGCCCATCCTACTGATGAACGCTGATTAAATTTCCTAGAGCAGCCTGATATGGCCAAATCACCTCTTGTATTTAGACAAAGTGCTTTTGTGGGGAGAAAGCAGGCAAGTGCATTACGTAGAAGCAGATGAGTTGGGAGAGGCAAAGGCTGACTGGTGAGGAGAAAAGACAGGGAATGAGAGAGACTATGAGAGAATGGAGAACATTTAGAAGTAGAGGCAAACGTAGCATGCCGTCTGAGTGGTTTTTTCTTTATTCTTGTCCTGTTTTTACTGTCTCTGATGGAAAGAAATAGCATGAGAGATGTTAAGCTGATGAGAGGAAGGAAGGAAAAAAGACAGTGAAAAAGCAGATGAGTTGTTCTTGAAAGCTAATGCCGTAATCTCTTCCGATGCGCAATGTAACCTCAACGTATTATCGGAATATGTAAGCAGCAGGAGCACCTTACCATGAAATACAAAAAACAATGGAATCACATAAAACATTCAAACTGAAATTTGGTTTTTAGTGTGTCCCAGGAGCAAACATGGTGTGGTTGTCTCTCCATACTGCTCTCCAGTATCTCCTATATACCAACCCTTCTCATTTTCTTTTTTCACTCTTTCTGTCTGCTGTGCTCAGCTCCCTCCCTCTTTCCCACGCTTTTACCTCTTCTCCGTCTTCATCTCTCGTCACCCTTACACATGACATGCTTCTCTTCTTCTCTTGTCTCCTCCCTCGGTTTTTACCTCGCTTACCCTTTCCTCCTTTAATTTTCACTTTCTTCTCTTGTTTCTTGTCCATCATCATTTTTCTCCTCTGTTTTTTTGCCCAGCTCGTGTCTCTCGTCTCCACTTTTACTTTGTTCTTCTGTAAAAGTCTCCCGTCCACTTCCTTCATCAGCCACCTCTTCTCTCATCTCCTTTCTTGTGCTCTTAACTCCCAGGTCATTCTTTTCCACTTCCCCAGGGATCAAGTATCAAGGAAATGTATTTATTACACAACACAAGGTTGTACAATGAAATTCAAGTTCCCACTCTCTTCATACTACATACATAGAAAAATAGTAAAAAAAAATAGTAGAATATACATATAAAATAAAATAAAACAATATATACACAAAACAGTGCGTCCACTTTGGCCGCGTTTGAGCTCCAAGCATCAACGATGCTCTGTAACATAGATTCCGCATCCTCTCATCCTGCGTTCTGCCGTACATGGTCCATCCATCAAGTGTTGGAGTTGGTCTCTGTAAAGATGTGGGCACAAAAGTCCCTGATTTCCTTTTGTTTGGCCAGCCTGAATCACATTTTGAGCTAGCTGCACAGCCAAGCAACCTCTCCCTCTTCTTTCTCCTTCTATTAAGTAATATATTCCCTCTTTCCCTTTATTTTCCCAGAGTGAGGACCTTCCCTAAGGATTCGGCCTTACTGGGCAGGGACACTGTTCGAGCCCTGATGTACTATGCCTTGAAGGTCTGGAGTGACATCGCACCACTTAACTTCCACGAGGTGGCAGGGAGTGATGCAGACATTCAAATTGACTTCACTAAAGCAGACCACAATGATGGATATCCCTTTGATGGGCCAGGGGGAACTGTGGCGCACGCATTTTTCCCTGGAGAGAGGTTCACAGCTGGGGATACGCACTTTGATGATGACGAAGCGTGGACCTTCAGATCTCCAGGTAATGAATGATGCAATCTGCTCTATTAAACCATAGTCTCTATGTGCTTGTACAAAATGTGTAACATCCATTTGGTGCCAGCAGCACATAATGAAATAGATTGTATTTTTTCTGTTACATTTATATCTTCTAAAAGAGAATTTGGTTTGTCATTACTTAATATGTGAGGGTTTTAATTTGTTTATTTTCCTTCATAAACAACATATTTCAGTGGAGTTACTTGAGTTTAGCTGTATTAATTAGCTGAGCTTTCCTAGTACCCTGTGGCAACTGCAGAAGTACCCCCGGGGTAACACTGGTTGGGTTTCACTGCCCTAGGTGATACTGTTGTACAGCCCTTAATTGCTTTACATCTTTGTGATTCAAGTCATAACAATGTTGTGTACATGCTGAGATGTCTCCAAATAAGTGAATACTGTTGGCAGCTAGATCTGTGCACTCTTCTGAGCAACTGGGAGATTGTCTTCCAAGCAAAGTTGGTGCAGAGTAATGCAGAAACGCTTAGCTGATGAAAATTAATCCACAATATAATCATCAATTCATCACTTAAAGGTCCTGTGTAGCATTTAGCTGCATCTAACAGTGGCTAACTGAACATGAAAACTTGAGAGGCCGTAAGCCAGTGTTTGGTTTGTATATTCTGGGCTACAGAGAAAAATGGCGGTGAAACATGGGGGGCTCCTTAGAATGGGACGCTAATGAAAACTTAATTATGAGTATTATATTTAATTTCTGTCAATAGATCATCTTAAATCCTACAAGACCAGTGTGGTCCTTTAAACTCTTAAATCCAAAATGCCAAACATTTCCTGCACCAGTGTCTCAAATGTGAGGATTTTCTGTGTGAGTATTTTTTTTGTATAAGTAAATTGGGTTTTGAACCGTAAACCCAATTTTAAATAATAATAATTAGTTTTTGAACTGTTGGTCTAACATAAAAAGCTATGAAAACTTCATTGTGGCCTCTCAAAGCTTGTTTTAAGCATTTTCACATTTCTGTTGATAGATATTGATATTGATAGGTGATAGACTAATGTATAGTCATTAGTTGCAGCCCAACTGATGAGATTTAAAACATAGGTTTTCACACCACAAATAAGATTCTATTGTCGTGTTGTATTGAAGTAAAGGCAGAAGTCTCCGTTATGGAAATCTCATAACCTCGTCCAAAATCCAAAATTATCTGCACTATTAAGTCTGTTATTACAGTCATCGACACACAGGCTTTGTTTGGCCCATACCAGTGAACCATATTCATTCAGCGTTTCTGCTTTGAGCTGTGTGGGCTAATAGATTGGTTTATGCAGTGTTATCCTGAATGATCTGGCCAAATTTCTTTCATCAAACAGTTTTCAAAGAGCTTGATTACCCGCTGAGGGAGATCTGCGAGTATGAAATGAGGACAGGATGACAGCAGCTCGAAATGGAATTCAATCAGCTCTGCCAATCAAAAATAGACAAGCTTATATTAGAAATATCCATTATTCCTAGACAGCTCTGGAATACACAGCACAGTGTTTTGTTTTGGTTTATGAAAGTAACATCTGCACATTCACTGATTCATTTAATTCAGTCTTTCATACATTCACTCACTCACTCACTCACTCACTCACAATACGATAACTATCCTCTCTGTCACGTGCCTCCTCTTTGCACTTCTCCTGAACTGTCTGTGTCTTTTCTATCTTATAAATAATTGTGAATTCCAGAGCCTTCGCTGTGTGTGTATTCACACTGGTGCAAATGAAATTACTGATGGCACAACAGGACCATTTTTTAAAATGTGAGCAAATGGTCACATTCTGATAAGAAACTCGGCGGTCGTGTCACTCAGCATCATACTCATTTCTCCCGGATGTCCTTTGCTGTTTTTTAAAAAAGGGAGGGAGGGAGGTGGCAAGCAAGAAAGGGCAGGGGAGCATTATGAGTCCACTCATCCGGATAAAATGAGCGGATGGAGTGATCTAGTCGCAGTGAATGCATCATCAGGCAGAGGCTGTCTCAGTGCGGTCACACGAATGACAGCATAAATCATTAAGTCTCCCTTTCTCTGACTTGCTTTCTTTAGTCTTCCTTTCATCTGGATGACTGAACTTAAAATGACCTCCGTCTCTCCTGTACTCAGTACCTCCATTCATCCCTTTTTTTTAAAGATGGACGGACAGAAGAGGAGAGAGGGAATGGTGATACAAAGAGAAGTAGAGATGACAAGAGAAATAGTTTGGAAACTTTTGAGAGACGTTTTAGCCAAATAAGTCAAAAAGACAGATGCAGTTCTGCATGACAGTTCATGTTTGACCTTGGATATATTAGTATGACACAACCATACCAACTCAAGGTCCAGTTTACTGGAGAAGTTGTCATTGGATGAGGGAGATTTGCTCAGTGTAAACCTTTTTGACCTAGTAACTTCTTCACAATTGCTGCGACACTGTCAAGATTATAGATTATTCGAAAGTAAGTGTTAACTTAAGCGAAGAACCTGTGGCAAAGTGTCTCTAAAAAGATTGAACCCTCCTGTTGTGAGCAGAAACAGCTCTCCTTAAAGATATTCACATTGTTGCTCTCAGTTGTATACACACAAATTGACAGAAATAATTGTGTAAAAAAAGGTAAAATCTTGCCAACAACCTGGGTGAAGTTGTCCGTGTCATAAAGTTGCAAAGATTGTTTAATGGATGTAAGGCAAAATAAATACTCTGTGTCTACTGTATATATTTGTGGTTGGTAGAGAGAATTTGGCCGCTAAATTTTGGTGGCACATGGCAGAGAAATTAAAAAAAAAGTTAAGAAATTAACTTTTTCTAATTATATCTTCTGTTTGTGGGTAATTTATATCTCTATTTTCTCTTTGTTTTTATAGAATTGCTAATACCTACCTAAGCAGGGCAAAAGTAATTGTTACTGCCATGCTGTATATACCACCATCTGCTAAAATGTCCCGAAGCCAAGAGATGAAGGGGTGCCAGAAGTTTGTGATATGTGGGGATGCCATTACTCTTCCTCAGATTCCAAGTGAACCTTATTTCCTTGCAGGAGAAACAGAATTGCATGACTTGGCAGCTTATACCTATTTCTAACTACACCTCTTTCTCACCTCACCCTCACACATCCCAAATAGAGTAATTCCTGGATGAAAGATAAATTCATGACATAACCTGACATAAATACCTCTTCCAAAGCTGAAAGCAAAAATAGAGAAATCTGTAGGAGAGCAGTATTTTATGAATCGGCAGCACAGACAATATGAGTGATTTTTCCACACAGATGCAATGAGAGTAGGCCTATACACTGTGTGATTTTCAGGGTTATGTGTACATTATCTTGTGCAATGCACTGAAAGAAACATAGCTCAGTCACAGTGCATGCACACCAAGCATCAGTGCTTTATTTGATGTTGCCACAGTGTGAAAAAGTTTTCAAATTTCTGGGCCATTCCCGGGTGATCAATCATCAGTTTCTAACATGATTTTCATTTTACATTGCCACATTTTCCACAAATATTATCCGTAGGAATATGTATGGAAATAATAATCTTGCAGTTGCAGTATTTGGGTGTCATACAATATTAGTTAGCTAGTTATAAGTATTTTTAGGTTTCTTTATGATTTTACACACTGAAAGACTTGATTTCCTGGTGTCCCGGTGTAATGTGATTGAACATTTAGACAGTTATTAGTTCGTCATAGACAATAAGCACAACCAGAATTTCAACTCTGTTGCAAAAAAGAGCCAAAGGTTGAGTTGCTTATCTGATATCCCAGACCTGAAAGATGAATTTGATTTAGCACTATGTTCTCCTTAATTGAATTATTGAGGTAAAAAATAATGGTATTAGCTGAAAACAAGTTGTGGATTTAACAAGGGAGATTAAAATCAAACGAACTAGATGTTAATGGAATGACTTTGCTACCTTCATTATTTACTATTTTGTGAATTTAAAAGCTGCAGGGTCCTGGTCTGACCTCGCAGTTTAGATTAAACATCAACCTAAAGAATGGGTCTTAGAGTGTGTGAGGCTGTCTATCGCAGCTGGTGAGTGTGTGATGGGGCCAGGACCTGCATGGGTTTCCCTCCTTTGTTTTGTGCTGTCAGGGCTGTGAGCCATATGTTACAGGACAGCAGCTCAATCTGCTCCAATTAGGCCTCCCACCAGGCCGCAGCAGTGGCAGGACAAGCAGAGGATGCTGTAGTGAAGCCTGAGTGTGTGTGTGCATGGGGCAGATTGTGGGGGGGTCAGCAACAGCTGCATAGATGTAGGTTTGGTTAATGGCAGCAGGCCAGTGATGGAGAGAGGGGTCAGAGGTGGGACCCCGTCTATATGACTGTAATTTATGTCTCTTTCCATCATAGTGCTTTCATAAAGAGAGTCATTGAAGTTCCAACAACCACTAAGCTACAGTAATTGTATTGTGTTAAAGATATTTGTACATAAACCAGTAAAGTAACTCAAACTCAACCTAAGAACAGTATAAAAAGCAAAGTTATTTCCCTTAATATGTTTTTAGTGCAACTTTTTGCCTGCTATAAATAACTGGAGGTTGATGGTACCCATTGTGTACAATAAAGTGAAAATTTGGATTGATTGTGTGAATCATCATATATTTCAAGGATATTTCTTTCTCCTACTGTGATGAATCCCCTCTAGAGTGAAATTCACATCCATTGCATCAAACTCTCCCATCTGTAAAGCAAGCACAGATTGCTATTTTTAACTCTTAAATCTTGTGAAGACCAAAACTCTCCCCAAATGTCTTTAATCAGCTCCCCAAAGATAGCCACAGACCTGGCAGAATTCTCACTCCTTCTGCAGACTGAAGTTCAGCTCACCTCTGGATTATAATGCTTTGTTTAGCCGTAGACTTTGCCTTTTCTATACTGCTCTCAGGCTGCCAGACTGAGGCACTAAGGAGGGGGAGGTAGGAAAGTGAATAAAACAACTTTTAATTTCTTCAAGTCACACTCTGCCAGCCCCACCTTGCTGTTGTCTCACAACAAGC